TGTGTGTTGGGGGGGGGGGGGGGGGGGGGGGAGTGATTTTCAGCCAGCTGCAGAGTTTTGTCGTGGAAAGAGAGGCAAAAATCATGGCCCACCCGGGGTGGCACTTATCCTAGCCACGCCACTGTCTAAATGTTGTTTTTTTAAAGTTAAATGATCTGCCTAATCATTGGCCCTTCATAATGTTAACGTCATTCCTAATGTCCAGATGTCCGCCTTGACTTATTACATCGACAACAACATGGACGAATACGACTTCATGAGCATGGACGTCCACAAACACGTGAGGTCATCCCACAGTGGGAAGGGGAGGAGTAAGGTGAGTCCAGGCATTCTCTCGGTGGGAGTAAAAGGGATCGTTGGATAATCCGGGTTTGAAAATCATGGAGGGACGAAACGGATTTTTTTACAATTCTATTTGAATGATTCGAAACAGAACAATTTCCCACCTAATTCATTGCCACGGGAAACTTAAAAACTCAAGATCTGATTGCATTTAATAATTTTATCTCGAGGGAATGGGGCGCAGTTATTCGTAGCTGTTCAATGAATGGTTCCTAGAGGGACACGTATAAGTTAATTTGGGAGTAAAATGTCCTTCAAATCTTTTAGTCATACCCATGGAGCCGCATCTAGTTGAGACAACCGTAGGCCCAGTTAACGCTAAATCATGTATTTAAAATGACACCAAGTTGTTTACCCGACCACAGTTTGCAAACTTGCGCATTAAAATAATGTCTCAATTTCTCATTCCACTAGAAAGAGGCCACCGCCAATACAAACAGGTTTGACCAGAGCGGGCACTGCAGGAAGACAGTACAAAAACTGATGAACAACATACATAAAAGGTAGGGGCATGAAAAAAAGCTGGGCTTCTTTTAAAATAGTACACATTTAAATCTAATAAAAAACAGAATAAAGTAACAATTATTACAAATAGCTGAGGAGTGAATGATTGTTCCACATTCATTGAATTGAAAATGAAGGGAGACAAGCCAATGCAGCAGGGTAGATAATCCAGGAGAAATAAATAATTAAAACAAATAAAATCATCAAAACTTCATTTCATTCACGTTTAGAAAATAATATATTCAAGATAGTATGGCTCTATTTATACCATTCAGTCTCACTTAACGTTATAAAATAAACATTGCACCTTATTTTCAGAAAATAATCTCACTGCCTTAAAGAATTTAGACTGGTGTTACTGATGAATGTTCCCTATTAAATTGATGTCACCGATGAATGTTCCCCATTTAACAGATGTCACTGATGAATATTCCCAATTAAACTGATTTTACTGATAAATGTTCACCATTGATTTGATGTCACCGATGAATGTTCCCCAATGAATCGATGCTACTGATGAATGTTCCCCATTGAACTGATGTTACTGATGAATGTTCCCCACTGAACTGATGTTGCTGATGAATGTTCCCCATTGAACTGATGCTACTGATGAATGTTCCCCATTTAACTGATGTTACCGATGGATGTTTCACATTTTTTAAATTTTATATTTTTTTACTGCAAAATTGCTATTTCTTTTACAATGACACCTGTAAGGCAATGATTTTTTTAATGCAACAAATAAAAATGTTTATTTTATAAATTAAATCTGACTTTCTTGACTTGATTGAATCATTTGACTTTTCATCATTTATTCATTTAATTCCCATGCGTCCATTTATGTCTACCTAACTTGTCTGTAGTGGAAGGCTTTTGCGCCTCAATCTCTCACTACTGTTCTCCATTAGAGCTTTAAATTCCCAAGGCTGTCCAACCCAGCATGTCCTGAAGTGTTAGCTTGCTGACATTCCACTGACATTCTCTATTGACACTCCTGTATGTTTTTGTTTATGTGATTTGTCATTTCTCTTGATCTGCTAAAGATGTCATGCATTAACAAACTGAAAACCTTTTTTTCTTTAGCCAATTTTAATCTCCCTGTTTTAAAGTTAAAACAATTAATCCAGTTTTGAAAATCCCAATTTCATTACTACACCAATAAATAAAACATGTCTTGTTGTTTTTTTTGTTTTTGTTTTTTTTTTGTAATTTTTTTAGAGGGTCTGGAATGAGGAGGAAATAATTTAATTTTAATCCATGCATATTCTAAGTATTTATGTCATAGTCAGATTTTGGTAATTAAATTTTATAATTGATTACATTTTTTAAAATGAAATAAAATATCTGATAAGACAAATAACAATTTTTTTTTTCATTTACATGACAATCATTATAATATGGAAATACATTTAACCCATGAGACGTCAGCAACACTCGGAACATGCTCCATCAGAGTGATTTTTTCTTTATTTTTAGAAACACATTCAAGGTTGGGATTTAATGATATTAGATGAATAGCAGAAGCTAAATATAGCTATACATATCTTCACAAGGTAACCTACCAATATGGCTGTATCTCATTAATCAAATATACAATTGGATATAATGAAATGCAATTATAGGAACAGCACTCTTTTTTTTTTTATTGCAGGTCTAAGACAAATATTTGTTTTCTTTTACATGGCAATCATTATTAGATTGAAATACATTTAATACATGAGTTGACAACAGAAGTTTCCAATCACTCACAAAAAGGTTCCATCAGAGTGATTTTTCTTATTTTTTTTGCAACACATTCAAGTTTGGAATGTAATTAAATTTGATGAATAAGGGAAGCATAAATAAATATAGCTATACAGCTAGGCTGCACATTTTCGTACTCTGTAATAATACTAATAATAGTTCTAATAATAGTTCTAATAATATGGATGTATCTGATCAATAAAACACTATTACGGAACTCTTCTTTTTACCACAGTTCTAACAAATATGCAGGTAAGGAATAAAGCAATAACATGATATGACCAACCTCACCTAAAATTAAATCTATGATGGCACACACAAATTGATCTTGTTTCTTTAAAAGCTACATTTCACACTCAAGTATCTAAAGATCATTCCATCCTAATCAGCTACTCTTTAATTCAACATTATAAAAATTACAAATGATCACAAAGGATTGAAATTATTTATACAAATGAAAGACAGAAGACAAGTTTTTGGCTGTGCTTGAAAATAACATTTTTTTTTAATACTTGTTTGTAGAAATTATTCTTTTTAAAAGTAATAAATAAAACTCTTTCAGATATTTTGGTAATCTTCCATATATAGCCAGCTTTACAGGCCTAGTTATTGAGTTTAAAATACAATTATATATTTAATGTTTTTACAAATTTGGATTCTATCTTCAATTAACAGTTTTAAGTGTTTAATAAATAAACGATAAGGACGAAAATATAAAACGGATCTCTTCTTATAAATAGAATGCGGAAAGTAATGCATTTTTCCCAGAATTACATTTATATATTACAATTCTTAAAAGGGAGACTCAGTTTTTCCAAAGTTTTTCATGGATTGTATAACTTTAATTCAAATGCTATAATGTAGATTATATCAAAAACTGAAGAGGAACTTAAATTTCAATCCAAAGAAACAAAAATATATGAAAAACATGGAAGTGTCTAATTCTTTCTACATACATATTGTTCTACAATATTGTTCTACAAACAAAACAAAAAATAGAAAGACTCACAAAGGTTTATAAGTATTTTAAAAATAACATGAATGGTGTTTAAAAAAATCTTTTTTTACAAGTAAACAATATTATACACTATTTATCAAATGATTCCATCAGACAATGATAAAATTTACTGATGTCTTGGCTTTAAGGCCTGAGGCAGCACATTCGTAGCTTCTGATGATATTGATGATGAGGGCATCTCACTGAATCTCCTAGCACTGTGGAACCCAACTCCACTACTGTGAATGGCTCCAGGACTCCCAAACATTTTAGCAAAACTGACCCCGCCGTGACCACTATAGCTGCTGAGTCTCCGGGTTCCAAAGTTGCCGTAATGGGGAACTGAGCTTTCCTCTTGAGCATGGCTGTGAGAGTTTTTCAGTGGGGGAATTCTTGGGGATGGCTTTGGCATTGGCTTGGGCACTGGCTTTGGAGTTGGCGATGGTGTTGGCGATGTGGTTTCATAGCTGAAGATTTTGACCATTCCATCTGACTGGACTACAACAAGTTTATTGCTTTGTGTGATGGCCAATGCTACTGGTCGTCGCAGTCCACTGTCTTGGCCAAGCACAAACCTGGAAGCCAGGGGGTTTGAAGAAAATAAAAATTAAAATTGATGTTAAAAGATACATCACAATTAAAAGGTCCATCACAAATTGCCCCGCTTCAGAAATAGAATAATTCATTATATTTGAGCTTTTAAATAAATATTCAATTAAATTCATTAATTGAGAATTAGAATATGTTTACAGCTCCAAATATTTTTGGTAATGGCCTTTCACATGAATAGAAATAAAACTTAATATGATTATATTTATTTGACATGAAACAGCAACAATAACAAAAACAGAAATATCTCAGTAAGCGTCACAACAACTATCTCACCAATCCTGAATTTGCAGCCTTAGAAATTAATGGATGCATTTTTAAAAAAATGGAATTATAAACATAATTATATAATAATTCACACTTACAAATATCTTTCTCTATCCTTTCATACATAATAAAATCATTTAAATAAAAAAAATAAAACTTTAATTGTTTGAAAATTTTCTTTGAAAGCTGCCAAACAAGGACCCCATGTTAAGTTTGTTTTTTTAAATATTGTGCGGCATAAGTAAATAAAATGTAATTGTAGAAATGGTGCAAAATGCATATTTTAGTGTTATCTTAAAAAGTTTAATGTTCATCTCAATTAATGATGTTGATCTTAATATGCATTTAACTTACGTTTTTGCAAACCTCATATTGGTATCTTTTTTGACTTTATTTTATATGCCTAGGAATATTTCTAAAACATGATTTTATTTCAGTGACATGCATGAAGGCCAACAACTTGCCTCTGAAATTGTCCATCGGGTGTGAGAAGGTGAACTCTGCTGTTTGAATAGTCAGCCACAAACAGATTTCCAATTTTATCGCAGCAAACGCCCTGAGCCTTTTTCAGCTCGTTGGCTTCAGTAGAAGAATAAGTGCAGAGAAGGCGGCCATCTTGTGAAACACAAACCACTGAATTATTAGCAGCATCACTATGACAGGAAAAAAAAAATAAGAAAGATAAATGCAGACAATTTATTTTAAACTTTAATAATTATTAACATTTTAATTTGCATAGAATAATTAGGTTAATTTCAATATGACTAAAAATCTTATCTAAGTTAAGAAAAAAATTATAGGAATATTTGACATAATTTTTTTAAACAATATTATACCACAAATAACATCTCTAGAACAATTCTGACATCAGCTGCTATGAACTACTCATTCCTGTATTTATTATAAACTTAATCTCTCCACTTACTTTATGTAAAAAACTTAGCTTAGCATAAAAGAATACAACAATAATTAAATTTCTTTTATAAAAATGTTCACTATTTTCTTATTGAAATAAAAAAAAATTTAAAACATTTTGGTTAGACCATTAAAAGAATATGTTCATATTTCATAAACTTTATCCTCTTTACCTTACAACATAAAAATTGTCCCTCGACACAGCCACATATCTTGGGACAAGAAACAGTGACTCCTCAGTTGTTGGATTAAATTTGAATGTTTTAGTAACCTCCCCTTGCCTCGAGACCAATTCAATGCATCTTTCCTCGATTGAACTGACTACAAAGCATCGAATGTTGGAAGAGTATGCGATGCCATCATACTGTCTGACAGTTTCTATCTTCCTTTTCAGGACCAGGTTATTTATCACTGCAAAAATGAAAATCTGCTTCTTCATTACCGTGATAGCCACATCTTCTTCACCAAAACTTGAAATGTCTCTGGGATCTTCGTTAAGGATAATGTGATCCATAAGATCACCAGCACTTGAGAACTTCTGAACTCTTCGGTTTCTAGGGAAAATTAAATGCAAACCAATCATTACTTTTTAAAGAATATTTTTTGAGACACTTTCAGCTTGTCTTTTAATTTTAGTTAATCTTTAAACTTTAAAAAAAAATGTTGGCATAGCTTTTAAAATGTTATTTATTTTAAATTATTTAAGTGTTTTTTTTTTTACTGATTTTCCAAATTTTAAAACTATTTTCCAACTACTAGTTCTTCTTTACATACACAACTTGAATTTTTTTCAAATCCAAATAAATATGTATATCATATTTACATGACCAACGAACAGATTTTACAGTGAATTAATAATGTAGTTGATAATATTTCAACTTTCATCAATTGTTTCACACTTCATTTACACAAATTAATTTAACTAACCATAAAGAAATACCTGCAATCAACAACAATAATTTCCTCCCTTGATGTCACAGTAACTCCCCAAGATGACAGACCGTTGTCACAGTTGCAATCTTCAACTCTGATTTCTCCAAATTTATCAAACTCTCGACTGAAAACCTTGACACTTTCATCAGTGTCAAAATGCACCTTGAGCCTAGGCTGCAGGTTTTGGAAGGACACGTAACAATTATTGTAGCGTTAAATGTGTAGTTTTGAAATTTTCTTTGGAAAATTGTATTTTTAAAAAAGGGATTAAAATAACAAACATTTTAAAGTACACACAGGTCATGGCCTAAAAACATTACCATAAAACTTTGACACATTTAAAATTCTATAATTTTTTACAAAGTACAAAATCCCACCCGAAAAAAAAATGTAATTGAAAATACTATCCATAAAGTAATTAGCTTGATCAGAGCAGATAATAATTTGAAATTTAAAAATGAATGCTTGCCTCATTATCGATGCCAGAATCTGTAGAACTTGCCCCTTCTACATTTGCTAAAATATCTTTGACTTTGTGAAAGACATCCAGGACCTCTCCATCGCTGCCGTACTTAAGGAGAGCATCCAACCTCTCTTGAGCAGATGTCAGAGCCTTCATATTCTCCTCCTGAGAGGCGGGTGAGGCTTTTGAATCTGAAACCTGAACCATCATATATAGGCCCAAAAAAAAATTATTTTGTTTGTAAAGCAAATGATAAGCCATTTTGTATTAATTCCCTATGTTGACTAGTAACTTCAGTTTAGTAATTTTTGTTACACACAACTTCACCTACAGCTGATTAGAATCTTGTGTAGCCTACAATAAACTTAAATAGACTTATATCATAAT